ACAGTTACACAATATAAATATAAAGCCTTCAGACGTATCTGCCTAGCCCTTTTAAGGAAGAGGAGGTGTAATAAATTATATCCGAAATATCTGTTTACCTTACTAAACAAAAAATGCAAGCTGATTTCTAAATCGCTCTCGTTACTTGGAGATAATTAGTTTTAAGGAAGGCCTTACGCATCTTCAGAGTTCTTATCCAACTTGTTTAACATTAATTTGATTAATTAAAGGGGATTTTTAAGACTAAAAATGTTTGTTGAATCCCTAAGGAAGTAATGTTAGCAGAATGATTTGTTATTATTAAATCCAGGTAAAACCGTAAATATTTACAATGAAATCAAATATCACGCTGTGAATCTAAACTAGATTCTGTATTATTAATGGGTACAAGTAGACTGTACAACCTATCCAGTTTCTAGATACTATCAGGTCCCTATACAAAGTTCCTGAGCTATTTTCGTAATCCATTGAAATCAGGAGCCGACCCATTCAATTGTTACCTGAATACTGTTACTGTCCGAAATAGGTACAGGCTTTTATTGTTCCAGAATGTTCCAAACATACGTCATCTAAATATAGTTTATTAGGCACGCGTGCTGAACGATCATTTATAATTCGTATCAGCTGTTGACTACAAATGCATCCGTTCATACAACCCTGTCACGCCAGTTCGTACACCATGGCCTTGAGGGTGACTTTATCGCCATAGCGAGCGACAACCTCTCCTGACTACGGTCATGGTCGCCGTGCGACCTCTGCATTATACAGGAGATGTCCGCTCACCTCCGGAGCCGGCGCTCGAATGGCCTTCTACAACGTTGAGCTACCGAAGGGTGAAGGGGGAATGTTTACCCTCCCACTCGCCCCCGCCCGTGCCAGCTGAGCAGCGGCACGCTATATTTAGGTTGCGCTGTAAATATTCGGTCCAAGTACGGAAAAGCTCCCGCCACCCCGGCCGCGGGTGGGGCGGGGAGACGTAGGTACGCTCCTGCTACATAAGCGGGTAAAAGTTGAAAGTTCACCAACGCCCGGCACACGAGTTCGCGCTGTTAGGGAACGCTTCTTTATTTAAATTCTATTGCAACTTGTTCGCCATTGTAGTCTCGGCTGAATTCGCAATGCCGACTCTAATTTTTCAATGCTGGCCGAGCCTCGTTTTTCTGTTGTGGAAACTTGTGCAATTGTTTCCAGGATTTCAATTTGGCGCCGTTGAATTTCGACACGTATTTGGATGAGTTTTATGGTTATTGCAGTTGCGGTCCAATTCGCTTGAAACAAGCTTTGCAAATTATCATTGCAATGACGACGATACGTTGAACTGGCAACGACTGCGAAGTGAAATGAACACGAGTATCTCTTTAACAAAATTGAAACGGATTACTGTTTGGGTGATGGGCCGTTCGCGTGCCGCTGTAATTTGAGCCCATCATCATCATTTACATCTGTCATACTTACTGTACATATGCTAGGCTGAAAGCTTTAGGGTGGATAGTTCATTAAATTGAGGTTATTTCATTAATAAAACAAAAGCTTTTGGATACAATGAAAGGTATTATTAAATAGAAATTAAAAATACATTTAAAAACTAAGCGTTGACATATTTGTCAAGGTTTTCTATGACGACTTTGTTGTATCAGTTCCAGTTGAAGATGGGCTTTCGGGCATGTCTGTGTCTGGAGTCTGATCAGTGGTGGAGTACATGCTCACGTCATCGTGATAAAGAGTGATCGTGCCGGGAGCTGGCTTTGAGTAGTCGTAATCAGCGTCGAGAGCGGCTTGGTACTTCTCTTTTTGTAGTTTGGGGTCATAGAAGGAGGCAATTGTGAAGGCACTGGAGGTGCCTGCGAATGCTATGCGTTCCTGGTAGCTGGTGACGGCGAGTATAGTGCCTGGGCTGGGGTAGGAACACGTGATGTATCTGTTATGGAGATTTATCACTTCCAGGCTATTAGTTCCACTTCCACCGACCAGAGCGTACTTACCTTTGCGGTTGTACTGTAATTATAATTATAATTATGATTTTGTTAATGAATTGTATATAGAAAGAGACTATTAGCATGGAGAATGGATTTGCTTATGTAAGTGCCACGTGTAGTTTATAATGGATACAATAATATGTTCATAATTAAGGTACATTTATGAGCCTTGATGGAGCGTTTTCATAGTGGAATACTAGATGTAAATTACTCAATTATACGTATTCTAGTTGGAGTTAATTACTTCTAGTAGGTGAGTTTACAGAGCGGATAATGACGACCTGAATATACAAGATAATGAATTAAGTGCTTTCAACGGTACCTAGGTAATTACCAGAATACCTATTACCTAGAATATTGAATACTTGTATCTATGTAAAATCTTGTTTGCTTGCTATGTCAAATTTTTATTTGTTATTACCACAGAATTATTTATATCTATGGTTATTATACAGTGTCTTATATCATTCTTACTTTTCCTGCCACAGGTCCACTGGAAGAAATTCCAATAGGAACAGATGGTACCTTTGTACTTCAATTTTATATATGTTTTGTCCTTTGTCCTTTATGTTGTATAAATAATAAATAAATAAAATATCAAACTTTATTCGACTGTTGCCGACCTATCAGCCGTGTGGATTCATGTGTACAGGCTGATAAAAATTCAACAAAACACGATTACAATTTGCTTTCATAAAAATTACTAACTTTTACTTGTTACTTGGTAATACAAATTACTTTCACCTTTATTTCCAAGTACATAGAAATTACTTCAGACTATAGTTGATGAGAAAATTGGGCTAGTTGAAAATCAGTCAATTTGGAGAGGCAGCCATATATAATTTGATTAGTAAAGAAATTTCTCAATCTAATCTGTAACTCGCAGGTGTTCAGTAAACTTATTTGATTTTGAACAAATCAGTTCAAACGATCCAGAAAGAATTTAGAATCAAAATTATATCTTTATAAAACATTCACTTCAACTTTCTATTTTGTAGGTCAGATATTGAGAAATGGTTTGTCTATTTTATTTAAGTTTAAAATAGAATTAGAAACTATAGTATGTTAATAACTTTCAAGAGGCAACAAGAGTGTCAATAAAGAATATGCTGATGTCTATCTACGTGACTTTAACATTTAAAAAAACACAATAATACATTTTAATAAGAAATGAGCCAATACTTATTCTTGTTCTATTCCCAAAAGGCCGGTAACGCACTTGTAACGCCTTGGTATTTGGTGTCCATGGGCGGCACCGATTGCTTACCATCAGGTGATCACTTACCATCAGCTCGTCAACCATACCAGCTTATGCAATAAAAAAAAATAAAGGACAACACATATATAAAACTAAAGTACAAAGGTACCCATTCCTATTGCAATTTTTTTCTGTGGACCTGTGGCAGGAAGAGTAATCCTATTTCTAAATATCCAGTATATTGTAATAAGTTCATTAAACCTTAGAACTTGTTAAAAATACACCAGCAAAATTACATTACGAAATCCCACCGCATGATTCGACACTTTCCAAGGGCCGAAGGGATCAGAAACCGACCTCATACGTGATATTTAAGAAAAACACTACCTTCGTTTGGATGAACTCGACAGAATATGTGTAGTAAAATAATGTTGGAGAACTGAATCAAATTAAGGAATAGACATTATTACTGAAACTGCGAGAAACCTAGAAAATGCGAGATATCTAGACAAAAACTGTTGAGTACCTTTCTTAAATGATTAGACGTAGATGAAAACTAAGGGCCACAAAGGAATATAAAGCATTGGATATAAATGTTACATCTAAGAGTATCATAGCGATATTTTACACTTTAATCATCGAGAAAATCTCAAATAAGCTTTATCGATCCCAAATTTCAGGATTAGCGAAAAAATACACGAGGATACTTCAAACTCGATTCAAAAACGAAATAAAAGAAGTTAGTACCTAGAAAGCAAAGTAAAAACTGGAAAATATTGCCAATTTTTCGACGGATACCGGTGAAGCATTTCAAAATTGAATTAACAACCAACATACGCAGACTGACAAGTGTATCTGACAGGCTGGCAACCCCGGGAGTTATACTGTAATTGTATTTTCGTATCAAACAAGAATTCTGTAAGGTTTACCTGTGAAGATAAAATTGGATAAAAACTTTTCACTGATTCGAATTAAGATGGTGATTCTGTCAATTAAATTACATCATGTTAAGTTTTACGTTATTTCTGTAGCCTGCAATAAAACAAACGTAATCCTCTACAGACCAATACGGCAGCCATCACACGACACCGGAACATTGAAGTCCGGCGCGACCCAGAGACATGCATAACTGTCTTAGGACCCGTAACGAAATAAATCAGAAGATATTAATAGAAGAGAATAAAAAAGATGATAGTTTTCACTTCCTCCTGCATAAATTCACTGAGATTTATATAGGAGGCAGCATGACTTAAGCCTAAAGACACAAAAGAGATTATAGACTGGAAGAAATCCAGTCGCCAAGCAGCATGGAAAGAAACAAAATGGATCCTTTGTGATCTGTTATATTTGCTTCCAAAAATATATGTGGCAAAAACGTCTAAACACACAGAAATTTGGTCTCGATTTCACAAGGTTCGCATTAATAAGTTACACCTGATGAAATAATTAAATAATCTAACCTAGTGTTTCGTTCACATTGTCAAAGATAACACTCCCAAAGTATGTGATTGGCGGACTGCTCGTATTGCGACTCCGCTGTCGGACAATGACACCATGGTGAATCAAAAAGAATAAAGCAGAACAATTAGGATTACCTAGGCTTACCTAGTGCTACTTACTAAGCAAATTGTTATTAAACAAAGTTCAATTATAAACGATGATTCAGAAAATGAACTTTATCAAGCATTTTAGGAAAATTAATAACAAAAGTTTATTTTTAACCAATCACAATATCAACTTATTCATCAACTTTTTGTCTGAACAATTAAATATTTTCCTAACAAAGTCAAACACCGAAATAACTTTTCTATTTAGGTACGATAAAATTTCATTGTAATTTTAATACAAATTGCCAGCGACCATGTTGGAAGTTTAACTTGAATCTAAAATGATAGCAAACTAAAACGACAAAGCCAACATCGTGACGTTGAGGTTATCTTAGTGAAAGTTAAACTAGGTTTGCGAAAACAGTTGATAACTGAACGAAAATTTAGCGAGGGAAGTCGTCTATATAATATGAGAGTGAGCAAAAAAAATATGGAACACCAACGCTTAGTGGGATATAATCGCTAAGCCGGATAGATGCGTTCTATTTGACCAAAATATTTGACCATGCCGTTTTTTCGGTTGAAGTGATTTCAACATAATATAACATTACGCCTTTTATCCCTGAAGGGGTAGGCAGAGGTGCATATTATGCCACTGTACAATGTAACACCCACTTTTCACTGTTTATGTTACGAGTCCCATGTAATAGGGGGTGAGCCTATTGCCATATACCGGGCAAAATTCCAGGCTCCGTGCTACTACCGAGATTTTTTTAAACTCTGTAACACTTTGCTCAACAGTCGCACTTGCGACCACTCGGCCAACGAAGCAGTGATTTCAACATATGGTGTGTATAGTAACATTTGGGTACAAAATACTATGCTTATATTGAAAAACAGTATTCTATTTTGGTCATGCCAACCTGCTCTTATGTCAAGTTAGAGGGATCAACACAAACATTATCATTTTCGTCATCATCATTAATCAACGTCACTTTATCACACTCCCTTTTCCTCCACATTGCTTCTCATACAATTCATTTGGTATGTGCATATTTGACATCGTCTTTGCATATTAGAGATATATGGATGCATCTACATCTATCTTCATTTCCGTCTCTTAAATCACTTGAAGTGGACCTTTGTTTTTTTTCATTACCTACATTCTTCATAACTTTCACTGCCTTTTCATTCTCATTGCTTAATTGATCTTATATTAAGATTCTCGTCAATTTTTAATTTCTTATTAAAGCTCACCATTTTAATTTACTATTTTGTTTAAACAGACAACACAAATGCAGCCGTTTATTTCCTATCATTTTTTATTCTTACAATCTCAGCGTGCATTCGCTCATATACGTGCATGCCTTCATCCAGATATTTATCGAATAAACGAATGTGTACAGTGTAAAAGGAATTCTGTGTATCCGAATATGTGCTGTGCACTGAATCGATTTTGACAACATTTTCACCGGCATACCGATGGAAGCTTACATCTTTTCTAGCTTTTATTTGTATCGGCTATAAACTTTTTGTTCGTTCGAAATAGAAATAACATTTTTCAAATCAATATTCTAGCTACTCATTAAAGATTCAGACGTAACGCACAAAAATTGGAATTCATAACATAACATCACGCCTTTTATCCCCGAAGGGGTAAGCAGAGGTGCACATTACGTCACTTAATTCCTCTGTACAGTAACACCCACTTTTCACTATTTGTGTTATGAGTCTCATGTAATAGGGGGTGAGCCTATTGCCATATACCGGGCACAATTCCAAGCTCCGTGCTACTATAGAATTTTTTTTAAAACTCAGTAAAACTTTGCTCGACCCGGAAATCGAACCCGAGACCCCTTACCCGGCAGTCGCACTTGCAACCACTCGGCCAACGAGGCACTCATTGAATGACTTCAATGTTAAGTAATACACAATGAATGAGTAACAGTAACAAAAAACTATGAAGTCAAAAATATTAGGAGCTAAAATTACTACTTCTACATAGTCCAATCTACGCATGAATTCAACATCGTCTACTTCAAGAGATAAAGGGATAAATGGCACACGAGCAAGATTGTAACCAATTTACATAATGGCCATAATTCCCTACACTAAAATATCTAACCAACGATAATTATATAAGTCATTCTAAAAAGGATGGTATTAACAATGGGACAAGAAACATTTTCCTCTAAAATTATGAAGGTACACACATCATAGGAACGCCAGTATCGACACGCGTAGACATACTCGCCGTCCACGTCTGGTCTTCGGTTCTGCACCTTGATGAAGCTTAGTAACTTTCTGGCTGTCAGATCCCATACACTGACACCATCGGTGGGCAGCCAACTACCAGCTAGAACATGTTCTCTCTGCAAACAAACGATTTATAAATGAAATGGAATATTTTAATAAGATAAAGAAAAGATAGCTTTCGCGTTATATATATAGCTGCTAATTTCTTGCCTCAGAAAACTGCTTGCAGCAAATAATTTTAGGAGGGGGGATCATCGAATGACTCTTATCGGCACTAGCTTCGTATCGGTATTAGCCCTATTGGGACCCAATCGTGGTGGTCTGATAGCTTTTTGAGGTGCGCGCGGAATGTTACACGCCGTACGCTCGGGGCTAATAAACTACTAGAACGTTACATCTCATAATTTACTATTTTTTTTGCGTTTTTGTTTATCTAATGGCATAAACTATATAATCTATATGAATGAAAAATAATTTCCGTTCGTTAGTCTCCCTAAAACTCGAGAACGGCTGAACCGATTTAGGTAACTTTACTCTTCAAATATTCGTGGAAGTCCACGTAAGGTTTGAAAGGTGAGAAAATATTTTTTTAGGCGGTACAAAGTTTGCCGCGTCAGCTACTTAGAAACTGTATAATTAACTATATAAATTTAAGAATTCCAAAATGGTAAACTTGTCTTAAAACAGTTAAAATTAAAACACCCCACTTTACACTCTGTACAGGTACGTAGGCAGTTATTTATACCTCATACTTAAGACTTTGACTGCCAATAAAAAACTGTTGAAGGTAAATCCTCCGCTAACGCCGGTCACCGGTGACCTCCATGGCGTTTAAACGTGTTAATAACACTAAATGTTACTCTTTAGTCCCTTTAAAATATATTGATGGATCTATTTCATGTCATACTTACAACATTACATTATTTGCTACTCAAACCCAATAATAACCGAACTATCAACATGATAATTCAACCACCCACCACTTGATTAGAATCAATTGAAAATTTCGTTGTATTTTCAATTGAATGTCAGTCTATTTCCAAATCGAATTCTTTATTTTTTATTACTAACACAACCTTTGCCGTGACCTTCAATAAAGTTGTACGCGACACGTGTACGCCAACAACACTAACGTAACCTGAAACGTAAACGTGAAACGTAAACCCAAAACGCGTGTAAATCTTGCCCCTCTGGGGTTAAGATAAAAATGTGGCATATTACTTTTGTATTGCACATTTACCTCGCTCATACAAAGTGAGAGATGTGAGCAGATGTGAATTAAACCTGGATAGCGCCCTAAGCAAACACGTTATAGGCGCCCCTCATTTTTTTGGCGCCGACGCGACGTCCGTCCATGCGTAGGTACGCGTATCTCAAGTTACCGCGGCGCCCTTCTGTAACCTGGCGCCCTTGGCAATTATCCTGTTTGCCATGCCACGGCTCTGGACTCTGGATAACATAGGTTACATAATGATACAAGGAGAACTTCAAGTTTTAAAGATATGTGTGGGAAAATGTCGGCAGTGACAGTGTGATAACAATATTCTCTTTGAGTTAAAGTTTTGTAACATATTTATGTTTGTTTATCCTTCAAGATAAAATAGACAGTTAATGCTTTATTTCGTTTGTTGAACGGGTTATTAATGTATTAGTATGTAATAGCTAATAAGCTTTTTATAGGATAAGAAGTAAATGAGCCGACGGAGTGCCGCGCAGTAAAAGACCAGCGTCGCTTATGGACCTACCTAGAACATCAATGGAGTTCAATCAACGGAAATGATGGTGACCTATTGTGGAGAGGTTATGAAGCTACTGAATGGAATGGAATTTCTTGCCGGAATCTGTGTTTCCCGACAAATACCTATAATTTGGGTGCCTTCAAGTCCCGAGTGAACAGGTTGCTCATAGGTAGGCGTGCTCCATCGTCGGCCACATCATCGCTTCTCACCAGGTTAGACCGACCTAACCATTATAAAAAACAAACTTGATCTTTGTTATATGAAGATCTCTGATTGAGAATCAAAAACGAACAGTTTAATACCTAATTCCCCGAGCTCGAAATTTAACGTTTTGTTTTTAACCAAACTAACGAATCACAAAAAAGCCTAAAGATAAACACAGCCATTCATAGAAACAACGAAACTCTATTAAACTGTCAAACACCAAGCGGTCACCGGTGACCGCAACCTATTGTTCTATAAATGTGTCTACAAAACCGGTACTCGACGAGTTAAAACATGTTCACTTAAAATAAACAAGAATCTTTGTGACAAGACAATTGTCAATAAAAAACTTCGTAACTACCGATACGGTTACACAATGTCTAGCAAATCCGAGACTTCCAGAAACTTCCAAAATAGTAACAATGTACCGTGAAGCGTACAGCTATTCTGCCTGTCAAATGTCAAAATACGAACGGTCCGTTCAACTGGAGCCGAACTTTAAATGGATTGAAACCGTTTGACCTATTTCTCTTTTTAGATCAGATATTTGAAGCCTACATTTTTATCCAATAAAAAATTGTATTAGGTAAATAACTGTTATTTCAATTGTTTTACTTGTTTATCCGCTGATTCACTTGTATGAAATTGGAGAGTCACGCCATCTTGTAGCAAGTTGTGGAACTATTACTATAATATAGTTGTAAGTTGGGAATAAAATAGGATGCTTCACACTTTTTATTACCCAGAAGGGTGGTCAGAGGTACCTACATATTGTACATAATGATGTTACACCAACTGTTCACCAGTTGTGTTATGAATTTATAGTACTTAATAGGGAAATAGGGAGTGAGTCTAGGGCCATAATATATCTTTATATTGTGCACATTTTAGAGTCTGTGCCGGATCACGTAGCATATATTCAAATGGATATTTAAAGGTTGTACTGATTCATGCTAATTTTGCGTACTTTTCACTTAAGCATTAGCATGCTCATTTCAGCAGCTGTAGCCAAATGCCACTTAGCGCTTGTCTACATGTAGAATAGAAAACCAAATTATATGGAATTGACGTATATTTTGACACTTGTCAGTGTCATCCCCATACATTTTGATTTCTACTCTCTCTGTAGACAAGCGCTAAAGTGGCGTTTGGCTAGAGGCCCAGGCGTGTTTGCAAATCGACAGGCATTAACATTACTCTAGTTATCTAAGGATATTTATTTTTATACTAAAAAAACTTCCAAGGACACACGCGTGTCTTACAATACGAGTGACATTGATAAATTACTAAAATTATTAATTCATTTAAAGTAAAAGAATATTTTTACTTTGGTACTGTTAAAAATAGATAAAACATTTTCTGAGCCTAATTGGATTTACTTAGAAAATATTTTCTTCCTCTAATATTTTTATTGAATTAAAAGTGAGCCTACTGCGTTCAAATTGGGTATATTAAAGACTACCTCATTTGTCTAGTAGTCACAAGCGCCACTATCGAGCAAGGGATCTATAGTTTGATTCCTGGGTCGGACACAGTATTATAAGAGTTTTATGTACTAAACTACTAACTCAATTATCATCATTGTTTGACGAAGAGCTCCGTCGATTTTACTATTTTACAGCGCGACAGTCGCCGCGTCGCGGGTGTTGCGAAAGCTACCCATGAATATGAGCCTCCAGCATGGCTTGAATCTAGTTGATTGCCTCGTCAAATAATTACGTGAGTAAGCCAAAAACATAATAATTATATTAGTATGTCTCACGAAAGTTTTAAGTTTTTTTACTTTTATAAATATCTAAGTGAAGGAAATGCGAAAATGAAATAAAATTGCGCCCGTATGGCAATAACCACCACACATATACCTAACAAATAGGTGTTACATTGTATATCTACATTTCAGCCATCTCTTACAAAAAAACGTTACATTCTAAATGCAATAAAAAAATGCACAAAACCACAACAAGTTATAATTAAAACAATATGCACCAGCATATCCCGACTACAAAGCAGTATTAGTACCTGCAATGTTCACAAAGTTATACCTTGTACTACAGCTTTACAAACTAAAAATATCGGCAGCCTCTGCAATAATAATATTCTTCAAAGGCAAAGAACAACTATACAGGAGCATCAAACTTCATAACGAGGTACAGTCGTGTACTCAAAGATGTTATATAACAATATAACATTACATATTTTGCCAGCCCACATTGAGCAAGCGTGATGGTTAATGCTCAAACCTTCTCCGTGTGAGAAGAGGAATTTGGTCAGCAGTGGCCAGTTATACTCGCCACTGCCTCGTTGGCCGAGTGGTCGCCAGTGCGACTGTCGGGCAAGGGGTCTCGGGTTCGATTCCCGGGTCGGGCAAAGTATTACTGGGTTTTAAAAAAATCTCAGTAGTAGCACAGAGTCTGGAATTGTGCCAGATATATGGCAATAGGCTCACCCCTATTACATGGGACTCATAAGATAAATAGTGAAAAGTGGCTGTTACATTGTAAGTACAGTGGAATAATGTGCACCTCTGCCTACCCTTCGGCGATAAAAAGGCGTGATGTTATGTTGTTGTTGGCTAGTTATTGATGTACTATGATATAACATATTTTGCTCTTATTGAATGTTCTTAGTACTAAAATAATAATTTTCCATAATACCACACTCGATAATTAGAGAAAAGTATCTAAGAATGGATATTGAGTATACCATACTTTACATTAAAGACAATGGTATGTATGTCATATTTTATATCAAAAACAGTTACGTTGAAACTTACGGCGTAGGTACTAGTCGAAAACATATATACCTACTGATGTTAAGTCATACTCGCACACACTCAAAGCAGTTTTAATAAAATTTTAAATTTGAAAATAGAACCTTATGATCTGCACTTATTTATAACAACAATATATATAATATTTTTTTTTCTGTTTAAACTATAAATGGTATCTGTTTATGTCCACGACTGTACACCAACGGCTTAGCTCTAGATGAAACACCACGAACTTCCACTACGACAAAGCGAGAGTTTTTAATTAAAAAGTGACTTGTATCGCTGCCTAAGACCTGTACCTCTGTATGGAATTATTTAGAACCATGTTATTTTGTGGGTTCTTTAAAAAACCGCGTTTGTTGATAATAACGATGATGCGACATGCGCTACTCCCGATATGAATGAAAAGATACATGAAACTAGTGTTTTTCAAGTATTTGTTAAAAATATTTATATGGATGCGTTAAAAGGGCCGATTCAAATTGATAAAACTAAATTAATTATCACTATATAGTATAAAACAAAGTCGCTATCTGCCGTCTGTCTGTCCCTATGTATGCTTAGATCTTTAGAACTACGCAACGAATTTTAATGCGGTTTTTTTAATAGAAAGAGCGATTCTTAAAGGATGTTTATAAGTATAATACATGCATAATGCACCCGTGCGAAGCAGGGGCAGGTCGCTAGTTATAAATAAATCAATCTATTATTACAGCACGATTAACCTACGCAAAATTATATATTTGCACATTTCATATATACATAATATCACGCCTTATAACCCCGTAGGGCTAGGCAGAGGTGCACGTTACGGCACTTAATACCTCAGTACAATGTAACACCCACTTTTCACTATTTATGTTATGAGTCCCATTTAATAGAGGGTGAGCCTATTGCCATATACCGGGCACATTTCCAGACTCCGTGCTACTATTGAGAATTTTATAAAACCCAGTAATTCTTTATCCGACCCGGGAATCTAACCCCAGATCCCTTGACCGGCAGTCACACTTACAAACACTCGGCCAAGTGCCAACGAAGCACATTTCTTATTAATATTTAATACATAGATATTCGTGGTACATATCATAATGCAAACGCTATTTAAACTTTAATGCATGCGTATTTAGGTTCACATTACTTATTTAGAGTGACTTGTGCGGTCTTAAGCGATGCTAATCGAATTATGACGTCGACACGATTTTAAAATGAGAATTAGAATGTTTTGAAATTTAAATTATTTAATATGGCTGACACTAAAAGACGTTGAACAACGTTTATTTGATACAGCACTTAGTTTACACAAATTAGATAAGTGCGTTGGTTTTTATAAAGAACGTGATTTGCATAATAATATTCAGCCTAAGTGCATTTGTAATGAATTTTCTTATTATTCATTATAGAAAGTTTTTAATGATTATGTCAAAACATTAAGAAGTTATTATTTTAATATTAAAAGTACCCTTAAACTGTCAAACACCAAGCGGTCACCGGTGACCGCAACCTATTGTTCTATAATTGTGCCTATAATGACGGTACTTGACGAGTTAACCGACTAGCATGCATGAATAGATTGATGACTGTTGATGAAGCGAAAGAGGTATGTAGGAATCATAGCAATTGGCGTTCCATAGTCTCCGCCTACCCCCATGGGGGATGAATTTGTGTATGTTAACTATTATTTTTATGATTACCTTTTATTTATGTATTTATTTATTTATTTAAACCGTGCATTTACTGGCTGACAGTGGGTACCAAAACGCCAGTAAGATATACCTACTGGCGTGATGTTATATCTTATGTAAGTTTTAAACTTCTGCGAAGATATCAGACCCGCATGCACATAAATCTGGGACGAGATCTTTGTCGTATGAAAGAAAGTTTTCGAGTAACGTGAATTCATTTATTTATTCATATATAAACTTTTTTATTCAAAACGATGTTTTGTCATATTTGCTTGCGTAGGTATTATATGATCACTAGGTTTATGTGTACCTACCTAAATAAAGAAAGCTTTTGGTGGGATAATTATTACTATAAGAATAAATTACAATAATAATTAGCTATTATCCATATAATATAATATATATCTATTTCGATGGCTCTACGAAATCAGCCCACCAACACGATGGGAGAGCCGACCTGACCCAGCAGAGTGTCAGCAATTGGTCCTGTCAACCATTTGATTGGGAGAGGAATAACCCAATACACAGCGCCACCGACTGTAGGACATTTATGACGCACTAATGGTTTATACCACAGAACATATTGAAAAGGCACAGTCAGTCACATAGAGAGTGGCTTCTAACAACGATCCGAGAAACCTGGTCGCGACGGAATGGGTATAGTTCCTACAAACACATTTCTGAAATGGGAGACAAAATCCATATTCTACTTACGTTCAAATCAATAGCATCACTGCAAATGTCAACTCCTTCGAAGGTCATGACGCATCCGACTTGGCATCTTATGTCCCAGATCTGTAAAACACAGTCTTTGAAACTGAATATCGTTTTACTACAACTTTATGAAACTGAAAACCACATTATCTAAAGATGGATAGTCCATTTTAACTCCCGCAAACGAAAGAAAGTTCCCCGGTTTTCTCATTAGCATATTCTAAATTGACTCTTATGTGTTAAAGTAAGAAACTAACGCGAGAACTTACACTTGCATATTTTCTTTCCAGTAAACTTACTTTAAGGAAATTTCATAAATTACTTAACCTCTAGTTTTACCTCACCCCCTATTACATGGGACTCATAATATAAATAGTGAAAAGTGGGTGCAACATTGTACAGTGGCATTAAGTGTCGCAATGTACACCTCTGCCTACCCCTTCGGAGATAAAAGACGTGATGTTATGTCTAGTTTTACAACACTTAGATATACCAACTTCAGAAAGTTTTCCTTGAAGTTGTATTATCATTACCTTTCAAATTTTCTAAAACGTACCTGTATTGTAGCAGAATTAAAAAAAATAGCCCTGAAAACCTCTAATCTAATGGACTTGCGATCATTTGACAATGAAAACCTTTTTCGATGCAACTAGTTAATCTAGATAGATAAATAAAATTGGAGTGTCTGTTTGCAATATTAAAAATAACCGCTTTTTACGACATGCATATGAATATACCTCTACATACGATACACATACCAAAATAACATTTATCACAATTATTGTCTGTCTGTCTGTTTGTACTGGTTTATCTCTAGAATGGCTGGACCAATTTTGCAAGACTTTTATTGGCAGATAGCTGATGTACTAAGGACTAACATAGGCTAGTTTTATTTTGAAAATTGAAACTAAAAAGTAAGTTATGTTCTACGCGAACAAAGTCGCGGGCAACAGCTAGTAGAAAATAATTCATTTAATTACATAATGTTTAGAAAAATCATCATCAGAATAAATCTGCGGAGATTTTAAGCCATCTTGCAATCTAATACCTTAACTAAGTGTAAAACAACTAACAAGCCATAATAAATTATTTACTTAATCCACCAAAAGTAGAGGGAATCTTTACGTGGTTGAAGCTTTGACACGACCACGATATTAATAAGATACAACATAAAATAATTTATGACGTAAGTACGTATAAGGTCATATCAGTTCAATGAATAATTCCATTATCTAATAGACGGGTAATTTCAATCCCTTTCGGATTAAAATTAATACCTGGATTGAGTGTAATATAAATAAATCGTTTTTGTTACGGTAAAAACATGGACTTAGGTACCTAATATTAACTTGATAAAACTGGTAGATACCAGTAAGATGTCATAGGGCCGAAACACATAATCGCGTTGCATCGCCGCAACGCTAAAATCGGCAGTTTACATTGCGGCGTCGTGAAAAAGAGCGTTTTGTTGTTGTTCGGTAGGGTAACCAGTTCGTCGTGATTTTTTATTGTGGATAGACGTGTCTCTGCCATGGACCATCGTGAAAAACTTATTTCTTATTTGTTATTAAGAAGACATTACTCTGCTATGCTGGAACGAGCGCTGCGTTGCGACGCCACAACGCAAACTGCCGATTTTAGCGTTACGGCGACGCAACGCGGTTTATTAACGCGCAACTTATGTGTTTCAGCCCTTAGTACACATTGCTTCTAATAGCCCGATCTGGAAGTCAATGGAAGAGGCATACGCTAAAGTGAACTGTGATTGATATTACGAACTCTGGGTTTACAATCTGACGAACTACAATTAGAAATATCGAAATGTCTTGGAATATCTTGAATTAAACCCAGAGACTTTGCTTAACAACTTGTCTGCTTTGAATCTCTTATTTAAATAAAATGTAAGGACTGCACTCAAGAATTAAAATATCTACCTAGGTAAGGTTCTACAAGAAACCGCTACTTAGATTAAAAATCAACAAACGAAACTGAAGAAATGCACATCTAAAGCACGTAATAAAAATAGAATATTCCATAATAACAAGCGAACAATACTCCTGCCGTCTGCTTAAGCGCGCTTAATAAATAATTTGAGCAGTTAACCGCGGAGAGAAATATTTTAATCTCGACAGAGAATACAGAGATGCTTTGAGTCTGTCGGCGGTCGTTGTCCGCCATGTTTAATTCAGGACGTGTTTACTAGCGTCAAGTAAGTTACTCGCCCCACGTACTCGCGCACAGTAGATTCGTACATTCGTAGGGCGACGACAGCGTGGTGGTATTAAAAAACTATCACCTGAACTGTTTATTTGAAGTAATTGTTTGTTGTTTGTACTATGTACGTTTATTGCTAAGTATGTAGTAGTTTAGTTTCAAAAGGTAGTATCTAATCAGCGCGGACTTGGTTGAAAATAATAACTGAAAATCATTATTGAGCTTAATAAAGTCGACAAGAAAAATTTGTCAGAGTGCCAGTGTCATTAGAGATTTTCTTTTTAACACTACGCCAATGAAAGTAAAATCAATGTAAACAATTGATAATATTACTTATATCAACATAACTATATGTTTACAAAAACAAAAGTACTATAATGTCGAGCTTAAACGGACCATGACAATAATTTGTTCGCAGTTAATAGGCATGACGGTCAACAACGACAACTGTGTGTTTTCACGTCCAGAAGTTTTTCACCTTCGCCAAGGGGAGTCAGGGTTAAACGTTAAACGTTCTGCGGTCAAACTGCACCCCACATTCCCAAAGTGATATATATATATATATATACATACATATATATCTGTACTTATTGCTATTTTTTCTACCTCATAACAAAGTTAGTTTTATTTAAAGCGAGTTTTGTTTTAGAAACTATTCTGTTTGCGTGCTAAAATGTTTTGTAAATCTGTTCAGTGTTTTAGGACATCAAAAGGTTATGTTTTTGTTTGTAAAAGTCATTTTAACTCGTCGAGTACCGGTTTTGTAGACACAATTATAGAACATTAGGTTGCGGTCACCGGTGACCGCTTGGTGTTTGACAGTTTAATTAATATTGAGTTGAGAAAAGTTTTGCCTGCAGTTCTGGTAGTGTGGTCGCAAAATCATTAAGTCTCAAACCCCAAAGGTTTAATTTCCATAGCGTAAGTCAATAGCTATGTACCTATATTTTTCATGAAACCGAAACAATGCTACTTCTTACTAATCATATTAAATGCGAAAGTTTGTGAGGATATATTTATGTGTGTGTTTGAAAGTTTGTGAGCCGTTTTGACGTGAAAGAGTAACAATACCCTTTCACGTTAAAACGGCTGAAAAAATCGAAATTAAATTTAAAACAGAGGTAGATTATGGTCTGGAATAAAATAAAAGCCACTGTTTACCACGAGAATGTGGGTAAAACCGCTGGCAGAAGCTAGTTTATTTAATAATATCTACGTAATATAAACAGGGTTTTAAAACACCTACTTACCCTAAGGGTTTTGTCCCAAGCTCCACTGGCGAACAGAAACGGTTTCTGTGGATGTGCCCTCAATGCGACTACCTGGCCATAATGCATCCTCTGCAACTTCTTAGGGATGAACTGAAGTCGAAGCTTGTGTACTTTATAGGTAACATCAGCCTGTAAAGACAAACAACTTTAATACGAATTTACATCTCTCAAAAACACAGCTTTATTAGATGAGTGATGACAAACATGATCGTTGAGCAAGGGCTTTTAGTTTTGAATCTCAAATTGAGGAGGAGTTAATGTTAGAATTTTCAGCTTTCAGTATTCTCGGAGACAATATCAGCGAACCCAGTCTAAAAGTCAGATGTATACATATATTACATCATACCTCGCCCGTCGGAACACAAATCCTGACACAGTATTACTAAAAATGTCCAATACATAAATCCAAATAACGCTTCAATATTCCCTTTAGACGTCTCTTGGAAATGAAACAAATAAAATTACTTTGTATCTACACAGGTATCCATTCGAACCAATACCATGTGTGTCAAACATTAATAAACAAAAAGGTTTTTTATTACATATTTTATTCAGTAGGTACGGCCTGAGTTAACGATTCGTTTCTCCAATAACATTTAAAATATCCGACCCAAAAATTTAATGTCAAGGCCATCAAAGTTATAATAAAACCAATGCAGGAATGTCAAATTTATTGCCACACTCAACCAAGATTAAGCCGTAACGTTTTACAACGTTTTAGTGGTTACATTTTATGCACACTGTTAAAGAACATAGTCATTTTCTGTGGTTGTCGTGGTCTTACAGGAAATTTCGCTTTATTTCCTCGATTGTCAAGTTGCTGTAAAGGTGCTCACACACAGAAGTTATACAGGGTGTCCAAGAACCTGGCGTCCAACTGGATTCCCACGATGCCCCAAGTTCTAACAGTACTCAGAAAAATATTTTAAAAAATCCACCCCATGTACTTACAGAATTATACTGATTTCAAAAAAAAAGGGGAAATGAGCACCCTGTGACATACTTTTGAATGCTGTGACTGCTAATGCTGATAATTTCGATATTTCTTGGAGGTTTTGTAATCTAGGGTATTGCTGTGTCTAAATAGAATGTAAAAATAAAGTACTTATTGTACCATTTTAAAATAAAATATTATTTTAACTAAAGGTGATATGGAAAACTATTGAATTTCGCAACTTTGACCGACTGTAGTGTAAAAAAAATGTACCAAAATAGTATGGCAAGTGACGTCAAATTTTGACGCGTTTATTCCTCTTTTTAAAAAGGTATAATACTTACACATTAATTTGAAAAAAAAAA